GGTGGAAGGTCATCCGGACCGGGAGCTCGGTGGCGCTTGAGGGAACATATGCAGTCGTAAACGTCCGAGGCCGTAGGTGGTTCCACGTTCACCGTCCAGGGTTCTACTTCACTTTTGGGCTCTAGATGAGTGCCGGCTGGTGGCCACGACAGTTGTTTTTCGAAGTATTCAGCCCATCGGTCGAGGCGTTCTTCTTTGTTCGAGATGGTCGTTCCATTCTGGTGTTTGATAGTTTCACTCACAGGTGGTTTCCGGGGACCGTTCACACGGATCAACTGAAATAATTTCCGAGCATTACCGGCTTTCTGGGCCTGTTCCATTTCTTTGGCTTTCTGTGTCCACCATACTTCACGATCAGATCGCAAGCTCACTTTCACTTGACGTCTAATAGCTCTTCGCACCGGATTATGTTCGGGACCGACTGGGATATTTCTTCGAGATTTAAGTAGTACCACGGTTTGGTCTGATATCCAGTGCCTGAGTGCGCCTGGTTGGGTCGTGCCACAGGCAAAATTCCCAGCACTAAGCAAAGAGGTGGCAATCTCGTCCCAGTATGAGTTCATATCTGATGGTGGAGCACTTGGAAGAGACTCTAGAAGACGATTCTTGTAAGTTCGTCTGACATCCGGATCTGACAGTCTTTCAGTTGCCATGCAGTAGCCTGTTTTCGCTTACCCGCCCTGCTGTATGCAGCAAGTAAGGCGACCCGGCTGATGGCACCACGCGACGGCCGATGTGGCATGAGTTTATTTGTGTATGTGCAATTCATGGTTGTACGTGGGCTGGGATGCTGCCAGGGCGCCCACACCTAGACAGGAGGACGATTAGGGTCCTCAACCCAAGTCCTTGGCTCAAAAGCCTAACCGCAAGGCAGCGGTATTTGGCGGGAAATGCAAATGCATTACCATTTCTATGGAACAAGTCGCCACATGTTCCAACCCCCAACCTGGAGGGCCAGGAGACTGTGTTCGTCAGACCTCTAACCATTGACCAACCTGGTATGATCTGTGCTGTGAGTGTCGCGAGACATTCTCCAGTATAGTTCAATGGATCGATAAGGTGCGCAAACCGTCACACCACGGTAAGGTTCAGTCTCTTCGTGACGGCAGCTATTACGATTAAACGACGCACACGACTGGGTCATTGCGTGTTCCTCACTTCTCAACGGTGACTTCCGCATTTGATGTTGCGACCACGGAACTTCATCACCTCATCGTGAATGGCGTGACCGTTTTTCCGAGTAATCTGGAATACCTCCTACAGATGACTTGTGGTATGAATTCCATCACTCAGTTTGGGCACGATATTTTCTAATGGTTCTTCTTTGGGAAAAACAACGATATCAACATGATGGGAGGTGTGTCCTTCAATAGCATTCCCCTCACTGCTTGTGGGCGTTACTCGGTTATCAATCGCCACGGGCTGGATAGCTGACAATACAGTGGTAAGAAAGATGGAACCCCTCAAATTATTCCCAAGTATCCAGTTAGTCAACAGGTGGTCGCAAGCGTCCGCTGACCGTTTCTTTTCATACCATAGGCCTACTTAGAATGGAAGCAGGCCGAGTGATATTTTCAAACCATAATATCGTACTGGTGGAGTAGTGGATCACTGGGATATATGAATTCACAGTACGCGTTCCAAGAGAGTGATAAATGCAATGGTCCATAACGTTTACTGTGGGGTATGTCAATCCAAAAGGAAGTTCAGTGACGAATACTTAGTTCGTGTTCGACAAGCTGAGAATACACCCTGTATCGTGGACTACACTCTGTGCACCAGTCAAAAATTACATGAGCTTATCCCATTAAGTGTTAATTTCAGAGCCCTCCCAGAAACTTCATTTCATGCATGAGCGGCCCATCAAGAAAGACGTTAGCCCTGTACAAGTCCAACTGAACAGTCGAAAGCAAGTTTGAACTTGTTCTCGGCGGGCAGATAGTTCGGTCGTCAACTTCCCAGCCTGTAAAATGCATAGTCCCTTTACGGCGGTTTCAGATACCACACTTCAGTCGGCTGGTAATCTACGGAGTTACCGATGGACAGCTACACAGTGGGAACAGGAGTTAATTTTACTGACGCGACAGTTGACTTGTCACTAAAGTAATGTTCAGTAGAACAAATTCGCCTGCTGCTTCGACTGCCTCATCTAAAAGCATGATCCAGTTTTGATCCTACCCAGTCATGCAACAGCACCATTGTTCGCATCTTTTTTGTCATTGTACGACGTGCTGTGGCCCTCCAGCGAAAGAACTAATCAAGCTCATATGTTAACAAAACTGTTAATGTGGTTGACGTCCCCGTAGAACCACAAAAGGTATTCACTGCCGCTTTGCATGGGCTATTCTCTTCAGCTTAGGATAGCGAACCTTTTCAAACCGATTAGAGCAAATATCGTTCTGCCTTTTCAGAAAGGACTTGCAGATTTGCTTGCAACAGCTATTGTAGTACGTGTTCATTGAATGCCGCCTCTAAACGGTTTGCTATCCTTATG